GGCCGCTTCAGCCCAGTCTGGCGGTAAAAGCTTGGCACTTGCCACACCCTCTATCTCCACTACAACTCAATTTAGGTGCCCCAGGTGGGGTCCTTCCTGCTGATCTCCTTGTCAGTTAGGGAATTCCATGTTTCACTCTGGTCTTGGAATCCTTTTCTAATATTTTTAAAAAGAAACTGTGATGGGGCATCCTTCTTTGCACCTTCTCTCAGCTCTCAAAGGGCAGAGGGTCCACCAGACAGCTCCTCCATTCTCTTGCATGAGACAGCCCCTCGGCTCAGCACACTGGAATGGTCAGTGCTTGTGGAGGAGGAAGCCATTCTGAGGTATGCGCCGGGATGTCTGGCTAAGATAGGGTTTCTATGTCAACACAGAAAGGCCAACCTGCAAGATATACCAGCCTGCTGCTAGAGCCCTGCCCTGACCCTCCCCAGTGCCAACAAGCACTCCAATATGACGTCCCCTGTGTCATGTGGTCCTTTTAGTTCTTGGCCCTCTGAGCCATGAATTCATTCACTCACTCCTCCGTTCATTTCACACCAACCTGAAGCCTCCCCAATGCCCACACCCACTGCTCATCTTTCTTTCTCTTCCCTTTCTTGAGTTCTGAACATGATCATATACCACTGTCACTCTGAGCAGACCTTTAAAGGTTAAAGAGATTTTTAAGCTCTTCCAAATTAAAGTGAATATAGAGGTCTCGTCTTTAAAACTTCATATTCTGACAAATATGCCCTTGCATATATAAAGAAAACTTTCGAAGCTGACGGGAAGACATACAACAAATTCTGCCCAATTAGGGTCAATTTGTATGCTGGGATGAAAAGGATGAACTCTTATTCATCCTTCAAAATTCCACCTACACGTGACCCGCTGGAGGAAGCCTCCTACATGAGGTTCATGAATCTCTCAGAGTGATATTCGTCCCTTATACCGTGGGTTAGTGGGCATAGTCCCCTCACTTTTTTTTTTTATATACAGAATTTTTTTAAATAATTTTTTTTAACTTTTTTTTTGGGGGGGGGAACAGTGTGTTTTTCCAGGACCCATCAGCTCCAAGTCAAGTAGTTGTTTCAATCTAGTTGTGGAGGGCGCAGCTCAGTGGCCCATGTGGGAATCAAACTGGCAACCCTGGTGTTATGAGCACTGTGCTCTAACCAACTGAGCCAACTGGCCTCCCCTTCCCCTCACTTTTAACTGTCCATTTACTTGTCTATCTCTTGCCTCCATTCCCCCCTTTATGGACTAAGGCTCTACAATGGCCTCAAGCCTTAGGATGTATTAATAGGTGCCAGAGTTAAACTGCTGCCCACAGGGTGGCCCATGGGACCGCCAGACTTTTTACTGAGCCTGAAACAGGGCTAGTGCTCACAGCAACCTTCAAGCTAGATGTTATTTGCTCCATTTTAGAGACAAGAAAATGGAGACTGGGTTGAAAGCACTTGCCCATGGCCCATAGGTATAAGCAGAGGAAGTGGCATTCAACCCAGTGCAAGCAGACTCCAAACACCGTCAGCTGTGCCAAGCTCTGACCATGGTGTGATGCTAACAATGCATGCATGTGGAGCCCTCCTAGGTGTGGTGTCCACACATTCTGTCTCCTATAACAACTCCACAAGTTAGACCCATTGCACAGAGGAGGAAAAGAAGAAACTGAGAATCTGCATAGTTTGCAGGAGGTTACAAAACTTACTGATTCCTGAAAAAGAACCCCAAGACCCCAAAAATAACCATCACACAGCACAGCCACCTGGGTCTCCCCTTGTTCCCTACCCCCTGCACTAAACAGATACCAGTGGTTCTCAGTCCTAGGTGGGGGGTCATGCCTCCCAGGGGACATTGAGCAATATTTAGAGACATTTTTGTTTGTCACAGGGAAAGGGAGAGGGGAAGAGGTGCTACTGGCATCTAGTGGGTAGAGGCCAGGGATGCTGCTAAACATCCTACAAGATGCAGGACAGCCGCCTCCCTGACCACCACAAAGAATTGTCCAGCCCAATGTCAATAGTGTCAAGTGGAGAAATTCTGAGATGATCCAACTTAGACCATCAGCACACCCATGCACACACACACACACACACACACACACACTCTACAACCTCCAGACCTACACTCCCATACCCCATGGAATTTGAAGAGGTCTGTGGAAAAAGAAGAGGGGTGCGGGGGAAAAAATTTAAGCAAGCCCCACCCACAAATGTACCACAGTCACCATTAACGTCATATTTATTGTTATTTAGCTGCTCAGGAAAACATATACAGGTATATACAATATGCATGAATACAGAAGACTGCACTTTACATATTTTTTTAAAAAAGAAAGAAAAAAAATAACACTCAATTTCATGAGCTATTGTCACAGTCTTCCAACCAAGCATTTCAGAAATGAATTTCTTTTAAGAGTCAAAAAAGATTACAGGATTGCCTAACACACAGCAGAGTTAAGTTTTCATATTTTACATGTGCAATAACGTTTTCATTTTCTTTCCCGAAGAGTTTGCTATGCGGTACCGATTACCAGTGTTTGGAGTCTCATGGGCTGGGTGTGTTTTTAATTTTGCTTTTATTCTTTCCATTAAACCAAATTTAATGAAATAACATCCTTTTGCTTAAGGCTATTTTTAAAGCTGTTCCATTCTGGGGTCGTGGGGAGCAAGAAAGTTTTAAACTTCAGGGGTTTCCGAGGTTGCTGGGACCATGAGCTGATGGCCAAGTGCTGATGGACTCAACGCAGGGAACGTCAAAGACAGAAGGCAAGACGCTTGGCTCCCCGGCCTTAAGCAATTAAGGAGAAATCATTCCTGTTTAAAAAATTAAAATGGTGACGCTCTCAAACAGCTGTACATTGTGGGATCAGAGGGGACGTAGAGTTTTGCTCAGACTATGGCTGATTCTCCTGCAGCCCAGCCCGTGACGGGAGGGGGACATCTCTCCCCTTTTCTCTCCTTTGGTGGCAGAACTCGGAAACTGAGTCAGCTCACGCCTTCTCATGGATAAATTCACACCACCTTCTCTGGCCTGCCCTCTGTGGGCCGAGGTCGGCCCCTGGTCACAATGCCCACGCAAGAACCTCGGACCATCCAGACTCAGGCCCAAGCCAAACGGGCTGGCCGAAGAAAAAGAAAGAGGCGGGTATGGAAACAGCGAGGTTTTTCTGGACGCTCTTCTCCCTTGGCTGAAAAGTTCTTTGAAATAAACAACGTGGGTGTTGTATGGTGAGCCCAAAGCCTTCAGGTCACTTGCTAAAAAAAGTCAGGCCTACAAACTCTAGGGGACCTCGAGGGGAAGGAGGCGAGGTTCAAAATGGGGAATTTAGGAAGGCATAGTCGTTAACAAAAACTGAAATAAAATAATGGGTCACCGATTTGGGGAAGTGATGTCAGTCACTTCCTGTCTGACCCACCCTGGAATCTCAGTGGTCCCCTACCATCCCCATAAGTCATTCATACCCTCTGTAGGCTTCAACAGCACCCCAAGGTGCCTGCTCCTGCCAACCCTGGGCCTCTGGTGACCACCGCTTTGGAAGGGGCAGGTAACAGGCCTCGCTGGGTTCAGGAGCCCTCGCGCCCAGCCAGCCCTCATCTCTTCTTAAAGGAGAAGTTATTCCTTCATGAGACACATGGGGCACGGCTCTAATTTTTCAATAGGGTGAGATTAAATCCAAAAGGGGGGAAATTCCAGGGTTAAAAAGGTCCAGGTACCATGAGTTATATTCCCTTTCTATCCCCACTCCTGGCCCTTAGCAGTATGCAAAGCCCTGCAAAGAAATACACCCAGGCTCATAGAGGGGGGTTTGGCAAGCTGAGCCTGAGGGTTCCCTCACTGAATGAGCCCCTCAAAAAGTGCTTGTGAGAGCCTTGTCCCTCTCAGGGATGGGGGGTTGCCCAGGTTGGAGGTGGTAAAACAAATGAGTAGGGATCCGTTGAGAGAGGTGGGAGAGATACACACAGGCCCTTCCTTCTTCCCCAGGATGCCTGGCTGGTGACAGCTGTCGGGAAAGGTCAAGGGCTAAGAATTGATCCGCCCCCAATTCCAGCACCCAAGACCCAGCCATCCTGGCTGGAGCAGAGCAAGATTCTGGAGCCCCCGGCCCCCAGAGACTCTGCAAGCTGGGAGGCCACCATCCCCCATGCAGACCAGGGCTGCTCAGCACAGCGTGAAAATTCAGAGCCAGGGCGTCTGTGGAGAGGCCCAGTAAAGGAGAGAAAACACCACTGTCAAACATTCTGACTCCTTCCCACAGAGCAGGCTGGCCACGTCATCACCTCCATTGCAGAGAAAGACAGCTTCCAGCAGAAGAGAGAATGGAGCTGAAGGCGGAGCGTGTGTTTGTAGGAACGAAAATCTATTTTCTTAGGGAACAGACAAAACAAAATCCCAGGCGGAATACCTAAGGGGGGCAATTCATTGTTTGGCTCCTGCCTGACTGATGACAGTTGGGTGTCAATATATAATATTGTGATGACAATTTGACTTTCACCCAGCAATATTCCAGAACTACTCTTCTCCAGGATTTCCATTTTAATAAGCAGTGAACAAAGCAAAAAGAAAAAAAAAAAAAAGGCGGGGTGGGGGGAGGAACAAGAATAAAAGAATAAAAAAGGAAAGCAACTCTTGTCTTATTATGAAATAACAATACTTGGACATACAGCAGCATGGAAATAAAACAAGGAAAGAGGTCATCTAAAAAACGTATGCCAAGATGACAGAAAAATGGGAATTATCTAGCAGGAAAAAGGCTTAAGCAAAAGTCTGCTAACTGCAGAAGGGTTAACACTGGTAACATACTGTGGCAGACAGAGTTTCTCTTTTAAAAAAATTTTTGAGGTTTTTTTTTTTTTCCCTTTAAATTAACCCTTTCCGGTCCATATGCCACTACGCAGGTACCAACCTAGAAAAAAATTCATCCACTCAGCAATAGTGGCCCTTTCAAATTATGGGGGTGGGGGGGTGCA